GGATTGGCATATTCTTGCAACTCTGGTATCACTTTAAAAAGGACAAATCCAGTCTAGCCCACTGGCCCCAGAAAGGGGATGAGCTAGAGCAAAGCTGCCCCAGCAAGTCCCAGACTACAGCAGACCGCCAGCTGACCTACAGCTGCATGAGTGAGCCTAAGTTAGATCAGCACAACTGCTCAATCTAGCCCTGCTCAGTTCAGCTAACCCTGGAAATGTATGAGAAATAAAATGTTTGTTGTATGCTTTTGTGGCTAGATGGCAACAGCTAACCAAATATAATTCATAGGGTTATATTTTCTGTTTTTAAAAAACAAAGATTTATAGTTCCCTGATACTTGTGACTAAGTGAAAGACAAGGTTAGCTCTTGTGAGTCAAAGACATACTTATGTTATATTCCTATTCTTTTTTTTTTTTAAGAGGTCTCTCTCTGTTGCCCAGGCTGGAGTGTAGGGGTACAATCATGCCTAATTGCAGCCTCAACCTTCAACCTCCTGGGCTCAAGCGATCATCCTGTCTTAGCCTCCCAAGTAGCTGAGACTATAGGTGTGTGTCACCACATCTGGCTGATTTTTAAAATTTTTTGTAGAGTCAGGATCTTACTATATTGCCAAGGCTGGTTTCAAAATCATGACCTCAAGCAATCCTTCTGCTTTGACCTCCCAAAAGTGTCGGTATTATAGGTATGAGCCACTGTATTCAGCCTCAATACAGATTCTTATTTCAACTAATTAAATTTAAAAGGTTTCATGTGACCTTTCACCAAACTGTTTTCAGTATATATTTTTTGAGACAGGGTCTTGTTCTGTCCCTAAGGCTAGAATACAGTGGTGCAATTATGGCTTACTGCAGCCTCAACCTCCTGGGCTCAGGTGATCCTCCTACCTCAGCCCCTCCAGTAGCTGGGACTACAGGTGCATGCCACTACACCTGACTAATTTTTGTATTTTTTGTAGAGACAGTCTTTTGCCATGTTGCCCAAGCTGGTCTTAAATTCCTGAGCTCTAACGATCTGCCCACCTTGGCCTCTTGAAGTGTTGGGATTACAGGAGTGAACCACCATGCCTGGCCTATGCTTTCACTCTAACAAATACTAGTTTGCTTAAAAATGTGAGTCAGCTGGCTGGGCGAGGTGGCTTACACCTGTAATCCCAGCACTTTGGAAGGCTGAGGCAGGTGGATCACCTGAACTCAGGAGTTGGAAATCAGCCTAACATGGAGAAACCCTATCTCTACTAAAAATACAAAATGAGCCAGGCATGGTGATGCATACCTGTAATCCCAGCTACTCAGGAGGCTAAGGCAGAAGAATTGTTTGAACCCAGGAGGCGAAGGTTGTGGTGAGCCGAGATAGGGGCATTGCACTCCAGCCTGGGCAATAAGAGCGAAACTCTGTCTCAAAAAGAAAAAAACAGCCGGGTGCGGTGGCTCAAGCCTGTAATCCCAGCACTTTGGGAGGCCGAGGCGGGTGGATCACGAGGTCAAGAGATCGAGACCATCCTGGTCAACATCGTGAAACCCCATCTCTACTAAAAATACAAAACATTAGCTGGGCATGGTGGCACGTGCCTGTAATCCCAGCTACTCAGGAGGTTGAGGCAGAATTGCCTGAACCCAGAGGGCGGAGGTTGCAGTGAGCTGATATCACGCCATTGCACTCCAGCCTGGGTAACAAAAGTAAAACTCCGTCTCAAAAAAGAAAAAAGAAAAAAAAGAAAAACAAAAAAACTTGACTCTATCCTAACTACAGGTAGTTTAAAAAAAAAACAAACAAAATAAAAACCTAAGTGTCTGACTGTTCCACATTCAATTAATGTCTATAATTACAATGAAGACTCATGGAAATGGTTCAAGTCCAGAAAAGTGCAGATCACTAATGTATATGAGAAATATTCTTCCTAATAATGAGTGCTATGCTTGCCTACTGTAATGATTGACAAATAAATGTGAAGAGAAATGACGAATGGTACTCATATCACTTTGGAAGATAAAAATTCCACCACCTGAAAAGTATTTGCTGAATGTCATCTAAGTTTCAAGGGCTGTGCTAGATATTATTAATAATTTATTTTTTATGATCCTTAGTGAAACCAATAGTTGTGCCTCCAAGGTAAATTATAAGGTAATTAAACCTAGAAGTCTCCAAAGACCTGTGCCATCAAGGCCTTTGCTGATCCCCTTCTAAAAATACCAAAAGCATTTGGCTATTTGGGCTTTATCACTATTAGTCTATTAATATCACATTAAAAATTACTAATATCATAAGCTATGTCAAAATCTCATTAATGCTACTGGAAAGACTGGCAATAAATACTCTTTCATAAAGCACACACTGTATGTTGCAAATGGCTAAAAACAAGCTAACAAGCAGCAGATTAAGTACAACATGGCCAAGAGAATATTCCATTATGATCACTTATTACTGTCATTGCCACCATATCCTGCTTTAAAATATGCAACTCAGCACGGATTTTAAAGGACGTTCTTCTTTATCAGCAAAACTAACACACTGGTCCTTTCAACGAATTTACATTTCAGAGAACAATCACATACGCAGGGAATGCAACAAATATTTCTATGCTTATTAGCGTCAGAACTCTGGTGGGTAGAAAGAAGGGGAGAACTTTATCTTTGAAGAATTTATAGACTCAATTCCAAGAATAGAAATACATGGGAAATGTTTCTTGATCTGGGGTGCTGGTGTGTTCATTTGTAAAAATTTAGTGAGCTTGTGCTTTTCATATGTATATTTTTTCTCATATGTTATACTTTAATAAAAGGTCTAATTTAAAAAAAAATTTATTTTTACCTCTGCTTTACTAGGAAAAAGTCTAATTTAATGACACTAAGAGCAGTATAGGACTAAGTACAAAATGAAAAATATTAACGACTCAGAGTTCAGAAGACGGACTAGTCATTGTTAATACAAGTTCAAAGAGTTAACATGTATTAAATAATTTCTATATGCCAGGCATTATACTAAATATTTTATATTTCTTTTTTTTTTTTTTTTTAAAGATGGGGTTTCACTATGATGGCCAGGCTGGTCTTGAACTCCTGCCCTCAGGTGATCCACCCACTGCAGCTCCCAGAGTGCTAGGATTACAGGCGTGAGCCACGGCACCTGGCCATATTTTACATTTCATCTTCACAACATCCTTGTGAGGTCAACATGATATCAACAGCATTTGCCACAATTAATAATCCCTCTTTGAACTCCCTCCTTTCCATTCCAGGCCAACATGCTCTCCTGGTTTTTTTCCTACCTCACTAACTGCTCCTTCTCAGTCTGCCCTTCTCCCCAGACTTTCTTTCATCCATCTATCTATCTGTCTATCTATCTATCTACCTATCTATCTATTTGGAGACAGGGTCTCACTCTGTTGCCCAGGCTAGAGTGCAGTGACATAATCACAGCTCTCTGTAGCCTAAGCTCCTGGGCTCAAGTGATCCTCTTGCCTTAGCTTCCTTAGTAACTAGCATTATAGGTGCATGCCATTACACCCAGATTATTTTTATTTTTATTTTTTGTAGAGACAGTCTCGCTATGTTGCCCAGGCTGGTCTCAAAATCCTGGTCTCAGGCAACCCTCTCACCTCAGCCTCCCAAAGCACTGGAATTATAGGTGTGAGCTATAGCACCCTGCCTTCCCTAGACATTTAAAATTTAAATACTCTAGGGCTCAGCTCTTGGTCATCTTCTCTATCTATACTCCCTGGGACAGGTATTATTATTATTATTATTATTATCATTATTATTATTATTTTGAGACGGAGTATTGCTCTGCCACCCAGGCTGGAGTGCAGTGGCACAACCTCGGCTCACTGCAACAATCTCCGCCTTCAAGGTTCAAGCAATTCTCCTGCCTCAGCCTCCTGAATAGCTGGGATTACAGGCGCGTACCACCATGCCCGGCTAATTTTTGAATTTTTAGTAGAGAGAGGGTATTATTAATTATTATTACTATTCCCATTATAGAAACTTTGAGATGCAGAGAGATTCAGACCTATGCAATCAAGACTTCAGAGGCCATACTCTTAACCTCTTCACCATTCTGCCTTATTTGGCTTTCCATTTAAGACGCAGGGCATAGCTGCACACATTCCACATTGTAGTGCCTTCAGTAACTGAGAAAAGAGAGTAAGGCACATGGGACCCTCTTCCATAAGATATAAAGGACTAATAGTAGACACCAAGCCAGTAGAAAACCAACATTCTTGCAAATTCTGTTAAACAATCATCCTTCCTAAGTTTCTTCACTTTGTACTTTGGTAATTGCTTCTCAAGGAGGAATGTGAAAAGAAACTAGAATATACAGTCTCCAATCTTAGATGCTCATGAAATAATCTGGGGAGCTTTTAAAAATATAGATATAATAGGACCTATATGAACATATTAAACTTAGAAGATTCCAGTAATCTGTGTTTCCAAGGAGCACCCAAGCAAGGTCTGAAGCTGACAACTTGGCACCTGAATTTGCTCTCAAGAGAGTTTCTCTGATCCTCAAAGGATGAATAATGACTATCACATATTTATCTACCTAGCAGAGGCTGGAAATGAAATGAGAATGAGGATGTAAACTGATTCCAACAAATAATAAGACCAATGAGGAAAACCACAGCAAGGACTGTGGAATTCTGGATCAGGACACCAAACATTACCAGGTGGTCTGGTAATTTGCTGCCATAAAGAGTTTGTAGTTGAGTGTTGTCATCCCTTGGTTTCAGAGGGAATCATATCTGGGCAGCAAGAGCCAATATAATACTTTAATAATATATATGCTCAGAGTATTCACCAAGTATTATGAGGCAATACAAGAATATTAAGAAATCCTGCCATTGCTCCAAGGCAACAGAAGAAAGCATTATTAACATTGCCATTTTTGTATAAACATAAATGCACGTGCATTTTGTTTACATATGCAAGCAACACTTACTATGAAATTATAAATGCTGAAACTAAGGCAAATAAGTTACTTCAACACTTACTGACATCTTACCTCTGTAAGTGCATGCAGTTGTCCTTGATGAACACACACACCCATGAACCTAAAGAACAAAACAGAATTATTTTACAAGTGAAAGGACACAAACATAAATGTCAAGACCATCCTGGTCAACAAGGCAAATCCCCTTCTCTACTAAAAATACAAAATTAGCCAGGTGTGGTGGCACATGCCTGTAGTCCCAGCTACTCAGGAAGCTGAGGCAGGAGAACCTCTTGAACCTGGGAGGCATAGGTTGCAGTCAGCCAAGATCATACCACTCCAGCCTGGGTGACAGAGGGAGACTGCATCTCAAAAAGAAAAAAAGAAACAACCTGTGAAGTCCCCTAGGATCTTGTACAACCCTGTAGACTCTTAATCTTTTTTTAAAAAAATTTTATCTCAAGAGTTTTGGGGGTATAGGTGGTGTTTTGTTATGTGGATAAGTTCAGTGGTGATTTCTGGGATTTTGGTACACCTATCACCTGAGCACTCTACACTGTACTCCATATGTAGTTTTTTTATCCCTCATCCCCCTCCCAACCTTTCCCCCTACGTCCCCAGGGTCCCTTATATCATTCTCATTTCTTTGCATAAGATTTGGCATTAGACTCTTAATCTTGATTAAGATGTTAGGCTGATAAATTTCTAAATTTACCATGAAATATCTGGTTGTAGCAAGACCTAGTGGTAAAAAGCAATGGTGTAAGAGGGACAGTAGGAAGTCCTGAAAATAGCATGGTATAATGGAAAAAGCCCCAATTGGGAGTAAGTAAACTTGGTACTGGTTTCACCTCTGCCATTACCTGACTACATGCTCGCTCACACACACACACACACAAAGTCACCAACTTCTTTTTAGTTTACACACTTCAGTGATACTTGAAGTTTTTCTCAACCAACAGGTTATATTTATATACATAAGTGATTTTTAAATAAAAACCATAAATGAATGATTATGACTGATGATGATCATAAAGTAGGAGAAGATAAATGCCTTACAGACATTAACAATACACAAGTCCCAAGTAAGTTCTAGTTTGGAAGAGCAAAGGAATGGGAAGAGACTGACTACAAGCAGAGTGCAAGGCACAGCAGTGACTGTGTTAGAAAAGACCCTAAAATTTCCATGAATACAGAGTCTATGTCCTCTTCCTCCCTGTGTTCACAGAACCTAACAGAACCTAGTAAACAGAGAGTAAGTAAATTCAGTAAATGATTGCTGAGTGTGAAGAAACAAAGTAGGAAGAATGCCTGGTTGGCTGTAATATCACAGCAGAGTTTGTAAGACATGCTGCTTCCATATTTCAGCTAATGTGGAAATATGAGACTTTCTCTAAGGGTTGGTTTCTGGACTGCTAGTTTTCTGTAAATTCATCCAGAGACTTGACAGAAATTTGAGAATGGAAAGAATCTAACAAAAGATCCAAGTAGTACTAAAAACTGGGCACAGACTCCAAAGACTAGTTGAAACTTACCCCTGGCTTGGAAAGAGGTGGGAAGTGAAACAATAGAGTAGTTAAAAGGACTCTGAAATTGGAGAGTTGGGTTCAAGTCCCACCTCCACTCTTTTATTAGCAAGCAAGAGTTGCCCTCTTTGTCTTTTTTGTTGTGGTTTGTTTTTAGCCTTTTGCTTTATCTCTCAAGACAGAGTCTTGCTTTGTTGCCAGGCTGGAGTGCAATGGTGGGATCCTGGCTCACTGCAACCTCCGCCTCCCAGGTTTAAGCAATTCTCCTGCCTCAGCCTCCTGAGAAGCTGGGACTACAGGTGCACGCCACCATGCCTGGTTAATTTTTTGTATTTTTTGTAGAGACTGGGTTTCACCATGTTGGCCAGGCTGGTCTCAAATTCCTGACCTCATGATCTGCCCGTCTCGGCCTCCCAAAGTGCTGGGATTACAGGTGTGAGCCATCATGCCTGGCTGCCCTCTTTGTAAAATGGGGATAATAGTGTCCACGACATAAGGTTTTTGGAAAGATTGAATGAATTAATAAATGTAAAGTGCATAGCACAGTGACTAGTATGAAATAAGAGTTCAAAAAATGGTAAGCAATTATCGCTATTATAACGTAGAAGTGGACCAGGTAAGAATCAAACTTGGTCACAGATGCCTGGATAAAAGCTGGTTTCCACATATATCCACTTTTCTCTCTATTCCCCAACCCTTTTTTCTACTCCACTCCCTGCTTTGTAAAAGTGGGGCATTTGACTTCATTCATCTGTTAGTTTCTTCACTATGAAATTCACCACCTAATATGGAAAGGAGAAGTTGGGAGGAAGTGGGGTAGGTCTAAAAAACAATGGACATAAGCAACATAGAGTACGAAGGACTGAATCTCCAATGCTGAAACTATTTCTGGCCAACAGGGCACAGTATCTATAAGGTGAACAGACAGAACATCTGAGAGTTTTAGTCAACATCAGAAACTTTAGTTGAGTAGATGAGTAGAAGTGAATAAGTTGCCCTGAAGTAGGAAAAATCTGGGCTAGATGAATGACAAGACAATAGATCTAGGAAAGCTGTATTTGTATAGGTGTCTCTACAATAGGTCATTTTGGCCAGGCGCAGTGGCTCATGCTTGTAATCCTAACACTTTGGGAGGATGAGGTGGATGGACCATCTGAGGTCAGGAGTTCCAGACCAGCCTGGCCAATATGGTGAAACCCTGTCTGTAGTAAAAATACAAAAGTTAGCCAGGCGTGGTGGTGGGCGCCTATGGTCCCAGCTACTTGAGAGGCTGAGGCAGGAAAATCACTTGACCCAGGAGGTGGAGGTTGCAGTGAGCCAAGATCATGCCACTGCACTCTAGCCTGGGCAACAGAAGCAAAACTCTGTCTCAAAAAATTAAAAATAAATAACAAATAAAAATAAAATAAGATAGGTCGTTTTTCTCTAAATGTTCATACAACTCCCCAATCACTGGAATTATGAGAGTGTGCCATTAATTTATTAAACAATTATTTATTGAATGGCTGCTATTTTGAAAGTATTAAGGACAGAGAGTGAATAAAAACTTTCATTCTAGGATCATTATGTTGGAGGGAAATTATAATAAAAAGATAAATTATGCAGAATGTGGTTAAATTGGATACATGAACTGCTATTTCTAGTTAGCCTCTTTTAGAAAAACTGCTTCTCTGAGATTAAATGATATCCCTGCCTAGGAATAATTCTATTCCCATTATCCCACTATAACAAAGAGAGTTAAAGTAAAATATGATAAGCTACATTCCCTCCTTGATTAAGGCTTTCCAAACTATGATGGACACTAGCAGGAGTTGGCTAACTATGGCCAACCACCTGTTTTTATAAATTAAATTTTACTAGAACATAGATATAGTATTGTCTTTGATGTTACAAAGAGTTGAATAGTTGTGACAGAGGCTGTATGACTTGTAAATGACTAAAATATTTACTATCTAGCACTTTATAGAAAAAGTCTGCTGACTACTATGGTTTGAATGTTTGCTCCCTCCAAAACTCATAGTGAAACTTAATCCTCAATGTGGTAGTATTGAGAGGTATGACTTTTAAGAGATGATTGGGTCATGAAGGCTCTGCTTAATCCATTCATGGATTAATGGATTCTTGCAGGAATGAGTCTGGTAGATATATAAGAGGAGGAAGAGACTGGGCACAGTGGCTCATGCATATAATCTCAATACTTTGAGTGGCCAAGGCAGGAGGATTGCTTGAATCCAAGAGTTCAAGACTAGCCTGGGCAATATAGGGAGACCTGAAACCTGCTAAGGTGGGCAGACCTCTTGAGCCCAGGAGATGGAGACCAGCCTGGGAAATATAGTGAAATATGATCTTTACAAAAAATACAAAATAATAAGTATTTTTTTCTTTTTTTTTTTAAAGATGGGGTTTCACCATGATGGCCAGGCTGGTCTTGAACTCCTGACCTCAGGTGATCCACGCACCTCAGCCTCCCAAAGTGCTGGGATTACAGGCGTGAGCCACCATGCCGGGCCAATAATTGTATTTTTATACAAAAAATACAAAAATTAGTCAGGCATGGTGGCATGCCTGTGGTCCCAGCTACTCAGTAGGCTGAGGCAGGAAGATCACTTGAGCCCGGGAGGCAGAAGTTGCAGCATGGCAAGATCATGCCATTGCACTCCAGCCTGGGCAGCAGAGCAAGACTCTGTTTAAAAAATAAAAATCTTCCCTTGCCACCTCCCTAAAATATAAATCTAATTCACTCTTTTTATTTGTTACCAAACTTGAAGAATAGGTTATGTTTTCTATGTTTCTACATTTCTTACTTTGTTGCCCAGACTGGAGTACAGTTGTGTGATCACTGCTCATTGTAACCTTGAACTCCTGGGCTCAAGCAATCCTCCCACCTCAGCCTCCTGAGCAGCTAGGACTATAGATGTGCACCACTACACCCAGATAATTTTTGTATTATTATTATTATTTTTTTTTGAGACAGAATCTCGTTCTGTCGCCCAGGCTGGAGTGCAGTGGTGTGATCTCGGCTCACTGCAACCTCCGCCTCCCGGGTTCAAGTGATTCTCCTGCCTCAGCCTCACGAGTAGCTGGGATTACAGGCTTGTGCCACCATGCTCGGCTAATTTTTTTGTAGTTTTAGTAGAGACAGAGTTTCACCATGTTGGTCAGGCTGGTCTTGAACTCTTGACCTCGTGATCCACTCAGCTCAGCCTCCCAAAGTGCTGAGATTACAGGCATGAGCCACCACGCCCAGCCCATACTATTATTTGTGTAGCAATAGGGTCTCATTATGTCACCTAGGCTGGTCTGGAACTCCTGGCCTCAAGCAATCCTCCCACCTTAGCCTCCTAAAGTGCTGAGCTTATAGGCATGAGCCATTGCACCCAGCCTCTATCTACATTTCTTTAACTTCCAGTCATTCCTAATTTCATTTTAATCTGCTTTATTCCCACATCACTCCTTTGCGAGTTTTTTTAGTTGTTTTTTTCGGTTGTTGTTGTTGGGTTTTTTTGTTGGTTTTTTTGTAATTTTTTTTTTGTTTGTTTGTTTTTTTAAGACAGGGTCTTGCTTTATTGTCCAGGTTGGAGTACAACAGTGTGAT